AGCATTTGCCTCTGGGAAATGCAATGACCTAAGCTACCAAGTACACTTGAGCAAATCAGTTAGAAAAGGACCATCAGCAATCCAGTAAGAAACGGTAAAGGGCAGAAAAAGAGAATCAGGAAAAACTTGCTCAACTGTGCTCATATGATGGGATAGTTGTTCAATACTAACGTGGCTGCTACACACCTCTCCCTCCACTGACGCAGCAGTCTATGCCAATAAACTGTGCTGAAAAAAAACCCTCACTCGGTTCACAGAAGAACGTTCAGATCAGAGCACGTGCGCGTGAAGAGAAGCAGCTGTAACAGCAATATGGCAGGACGCCCAAATAACCCACAGCTGTGGACTCCATTCTGACTCACAGTGACCCTATCAGACAAGAGGAGAACTGTCTGTCTTCAGGAAGCAACCTCATCTGTCTACTGGATTGACCCGCAGACCCTGGAGACCATCGTGCCTCGGCCTCCCGCAACCGGCCCCACAACTGACTGATAACCACAGCAAGACGACACTGGCACGAGGATGGGATCCAGCTTAGGGTCACCAAGCTGCTAAGAGAGATTTTCTTTGAAAAGGAACTGGATTCTTTCTAATGATGTTCCCTAAAACGCTTGAGCTGGGGAGCATCTCATTTCTATGATGACAAAAGGGAAGCTGATGGTCCAGGAGCGTTCGGAGCAGCCGTAAGGCATCTCGCAGGGCAGGATCAAGCTCCAGCATACCTCGGTGACCATAGGTGGTCCGCACCTGCGGGAGGACGACCGGGAATCAACTGGCCACTTAAGAGAGACCAGGCATCAAAGCAGGGGGGCGTGGCCAGGGAAATAAAGCCACTGCGTCATCAGCGTGAGAGCGTGTCCACAAACAGCCTGCATCATGAGTGGGGCGGGGCCCAGCAAAGGCCATCAGGAGGTGGGCGGTGCCATAATCCGCGCGAGGGGTGGGCCTTGGGCGTACGCACCGTGACGTGCTCTGATGCGCCATGACGCGCAGCAGCAGTCTAAGCGGCGGGCGGGCGGCGGCCAACCTCGGGCGGGGCGGGCCGCGCGCGGCGGCGCTAGGTGAGAGGCCCGCCCGCCCGCCGCCGCCGCCGCGCCCATGCTGCTGCCCCTGACCTGCCTGCACGGCCGCGTGGCGCAGTGCCTCACCTCCCTCCTTCTGCTTCCAGAGCCGCTCCCGAAGCCCCGGCACGGCGTGGGGGCGCACGGCGCAGTGCCGCCATGCGCTGAGGCCGCCCCCGCGGCGCTGCCCGCGAAGATGGCCGCAGAGCTGTACCCCCGCGCCGCTGCCGCCACCACGGCTGCCACCGCCACTGACATCGCCAACAGCAACGCCGCCGCGCCCGCTGCCGCCACTACTGCCGCAGGCAGGAAGGGTGGCCCACGCTGCCCGCCGTGCGCCCCGGCCCCGGCCCTGCCACCGCCAGCGCCCGCGCCGCCCACCCCCCACAACAACAACTTGGAGAGCCCCAACTGGCAGTCCTTCCACCCAACCCTGCGCGAGAGGTGAGCCCCGCCCGCGTGCGCGCCCCCGGCCCCCAGCCGCGCAGACCCGAGCCCTGTGTCCGCCCTTTGCAGGAACGCACTGATGTTCAACAACGAGCTCATGGCCGACGTCCACTTCATCGTGGGGCCCCTGGGGGCGGCCAGAAGGGTGCCCGCCCACAAGGTGGGTATCCGGGCCCAGCCCAGCCCAGCCCAGCCCTGGCCTTGCAGCCGCACGAGCCTGACTCGAATACAAACATCATCACTGCGCCCCTTTGTCGTCCACAGTACGTCCTGGCCGTAGGCAGCTCCGTCTTCTATGCCATGTTCTACGGGGACCTTGCTGAAGTCAAGTCTGAGATTCACATACCAGACGTGGAGCCGGCAGCTTTTCTCATCTTGTTAAAGTAAGTCTTCTCCTGAACATAGATGAGGACAGGGTCTTTTCTGCCTTGGTGCCACCTGGCATGCTCTAGGGGAAGGGTCAGAAGGAGGTGGGGCTGCAAAGGGGCCTCCTGGCTCTGATCCAGCCCTTGGCGTCCAGGTACATGTATAGTGATGAAATTGACCTGGAGGCGGACACTGTGCTGGCAACGCTTTATGCTGCTAAGAAGTACATCGTCCCTGCCCTCGCCAAAGCCTGCGTCAACTTTCTGGAGACAAGTCTGGAAGCCAAAAATGCCTGTGTCCTGCTCTCGCAGAGCCGGCTGTTTGAGGAGCCAGAGTTGACCCAGCGCTGCTGGGAGGTCATCGATGCACAAGCTGAGATGGCACTGCGCTCAGAAGGTTTCTGTGAGATTGACCGGCAGACCCTGGAGATCATTGTGACTCGGGAGGCCCTCAACACCAAGGAGGCAGTGGTCTTCGAGGCCGTCCTGAACTGGGCGGAGGCGGAGTGCAAGAGGCAAGGTCTGCCGGTCACTCCACGGAACAAGAGGCATGTTCTGGGACGAGCCCTCTACCTGGTACGCATTCCTACCATGACCCTGGAGGAGTTTGCCAACGGCGCGGCTCAGTCGGACATCCTAACTCTGGAGGAGACTCACAACATCTTCCTCTGGTACACTGCTACCAAGAAACCTCCTCTGGAGTTCCCGCTTTCCAAGAGGAAGGGCCTTGTCCCACAGAGGTGCCACCGCTTCCAGTCTTCAGCCTACCGCAGCAACCAGTGGCGGTACCGAGGACGGTGCGATAGCATCCAGTTTGCAGTGGACAGAAGGGTGTTTGTGGCAGGGCTGGGGCTGTATGGGTCCAGCTCAGGGAAAGCCGAGTACAGCGTGAAGATCGAACTGAAGCGGCTTGGGGTTGTGCTGGCCCAGAACCTGACCAAGTTTGTCTCTGATGGCTCCAGTAACACCTTTCTCGTGTGGTTCGAGCACCCGGTCCAGGTGGAACAGGACACCTTCTACACGGTCAGTGCTGTGCTGGATGGCAGCGAGCTCAGCTACTTTGGGCAGGAGGGGATGACAGAGGTGCAGTGTGGGAAGGTGACTTTCCAGTTCCAGTGTTCCTCTGACAGCACCAACGGGACCGGGGTGCAGGGCGGGCAGATCCCCGAGCTCATCTTTTACGCCTGAGACCAGCCGGCCGGCTGCTGTGAATGGGTATGTGAGAGGTGGCACACTTGCCTCTATTCCAGCACATTACTTAAGTGAGTCCCGGAATTTGGCGCTGGACACACACTAAGCCCCTGAGCAGGCCAGAAAGCTTGTCCACAGGGCGTTGGCGTTTCCGAGTCTGTGGCTGAGTGTCTGCTGACCACAGGGGAGCGCGTCCCAGATGCACGGCAGCCCGTGTGCTTACCCAGTAGCACCCACATGTCTGCTCCAAGGGATTTGCCACCCTTCGACCCTCTGGGATTTTAAGTACTTTCTAAGTTTGACGTGAAACCTTTCCTCCAAAAGGGGTGGGAGTGGTGGGGTCACTTAAAGTCATTCGTCTATTTAAGTGGCATTTCATAATAAAGTTTAAACAAAACGATACCAGTGTAGCCAGCTGACTACGGGGCTGGAACCCGCTAGCATCACTCAGAACTTCTAAACCGCCGGATAATGCCACGTACCTCCCAGAAGCCACCACTCCCACCCCTTCTCCTCCTCACTGCCGTCCCTACACTCGACAGCAGCTCCGACATAGGCCCCCTCGAGGAATGCCCCCCCATCAGGGAGGCCTGGTGATGGTGTAGGGTAAGTGCTGGGCTGCTGACCACAAAGTCTGCCCCTTATATAAAGACTGACAGAACCAACTGGATGGCAGAGCTGTTTGATGCCTGCAGTGCTCTTGACAGCTCACCCCTCCCCGAGGTCACTGCCTCCCAGGGCCAGGATTCTGGGCCAGGAAGCCTCCTTCTTACCAGTCCTGCTGCTGAGCTGAACTGAGCTGCTAACACCCCCAGGCACTGGGTGTCCTGTACCCGAGAAAGCAAGGGACTTCCCCAAGCAGGCTGCTTGCTCAACCTGGAAAAGCATCTGGCCCTCGGGTCACCCTCCCGACCAGCCCCAGCACGTACCTATTGCTGGTGCGTTGATGCAGAGCTCTCTGGCCAACAGGAGAAATGTCTTCCCCAGCACGTAAACATTCACCTGGGAGGAAGACAGGGCAACTTACAAGGGTGTGTGTGTTTCAGGGACTGTCTTTCTTTTCCTTAAATTACCAGTTACACAGTGAGCGCTGTGGTCTCTCCACCTTTGCCACTCAGGACCATGTGCTTAGGGGACACCACCTGAAGGACATGCAGGCTGGGCTTCCATTCAGAATCTGCAACTCTCAGGGCCAAGCACACTTCTGTCATGCCTGCTCTGTCCTCATAACTGTCACCTTCAGCGCTGACAGGCCACCTGTAGTCCCCATGAGTAAGCCCAGAAGCCCCTCTGCCCAAGATCCATGACTCTGTAGCCTGGTGGATGGTGGCAGCGGGCTCTCTAGCCTGACCCCGTGGCAAAGCCGCTGCTGGGGGGCCACAGGGGCCTCAGGAGGGCCAAGTACACTAGGCGTGTACACGTGCCAGGAGGGCTTCCAACCAGTTTGAACTGGTTCAGTCATGGCTGAACAGATCCAACCCTAACCAACTCACTGCTCAGAGCGACCCACAGAGCAGAGCTACTTCAGCACGTTCCCAAGGCTGTGATCCATGTGGAGATGCTGGCTGGGCAGCAGCTGGTGGGACGAGGTGCAGTGTACCCTTCTCTCAGGAACCTGCTGTGGGAAGCGGCCACCTGAGTGGGCACCCTGCCCACGGAGACGCCATTGCCGTGCATTGTGCGTGCTGCCCTTCAGATTCTAGCAGGGTCTCAACTCCTAATTCTCATTCCGGTTATCCTTCTGGTTGGCCCATTTTAACTGTTTGTCAGCCCTAACTGGACCAGGAAGAACCCGTTCACAGCCTGTGCATTCAGGGTCCCGGTAGCTGTTGCCCTGTGTCCTCACAGGGCTGCATGTTGGTGTCAAGCTGCCCTCTACACTAACACATCCAAGGCTGAACGGCCTTGCAGGTGAGCAGGATTCTCTAAGCAGACTCCAAATGGAGAACAAATGTTACTCCTACACAGTTAAGAGTCCTAGGAGCCAGCAGGCCAGCAGTTCTTTCCAGAACTCTAATGGGTCGCGTCACTTCTTTGTGTGGCAGATACCCTGTGTAATGGTTCACGGTTGGTGTCCCTCCCCCCGAGTGGGAACTCTCCACTCAGGAGATGCAGGCGTGTCCCCAGCCCTCTCCTGACTTGACTGTGAAGCCTGCACTGCAGCCACTGGGACTGCACAATCCCATAGATTAGTTTTAGCTTGACCACAAAGTGTTTCAGCAAGAGCTTTGGAGATGTTTGTAAAGACAGCTGGGGGAACCAAAAAAATCTGTCTGCTTTTATTAGGAGCTTGGTGGCACTGTGAGTTAAGCACAAGGCTGCTAACCATAAGGTAGTCACTTCAAAGCCACCAGCTGCAAATTAGAAGAGGGAGGCTTTGGAAAGCTGATACAGGGTTGGAATCGACGGGGGCAGTGAGGCGGTGTTACTGGGTCAGCTTTTAGAAGTGTGGTCGCTCTATGGCCCGAGTAGGCCCACCCAGGTGTCACTCTGAAATTGTGTGTGTCTTGCACGCCCTTTCATGCTGAGCCATGGGTCCCAGCAGCTGAGCTGTCAGTCCTTCGGGAGCACAGAAAACACGGTCCTGGTACCAGAACCTAAGTGCCTCTGAACAGACTAGGGTTCTACACGTGCAGAGTGTATATGCATGAGCCCCGTCCCCTCAAGACTAGACCTGGCCTACAACACTGCACCTGGGCCTCTCTCAGCTGGACCCCAGGTGGACACTTCTGTCCTCAACAGGGACACTCCGCTGCTGCTTCCACGCCTCGTGTTCGGACTTTAAAGCAAAAGGCTCCACCTGAGCAGCTCTCCTAAACTAACACGCCCCCCTAACTGGATGGGAGCTCTGGCCTCCCCTCCCTCTGTGCCCCCCTCCCACGCCCCCCACGCAAAGACTACCTGGAGCAGATCGCTGAGGTCCAGGAGCATGTCTGGGGCAGGAGTCAAGGAGCATCAGGTGGAAGTGGCCCAACTAAAGCAGCGACCACAGCGCGCCCAGTGAGCAGGGCCTTCAGGTTTGCTGCATGCAAGTCCAGCATGTGGTCACACGGGACAGGGAGTGAGACGGCAGCACCAGGCTGACCGGATACCAGCCCGCCAACCCGTGCCCCAGCCAGGACATGTGGCTGCAAGAGGGAGTGGGGCGGAAAGGGTTCAGTCCTGTCCTGGAGAGGGGGCCCCGCCTCCATAATCAGGGCCACCTCACAGAGAAGTAGGCACACACCCAGTGTCAGCACGCCATTGTCCTGGGGGGAAGATGGACAGGGGGTAACACACACTGCTGTCACTGTGGGGAACAGACGGGTGAGATGCTGAGGCGGGCCTGGCCTCTCCGCAGTGTGTGGACAGTACTGAGAAGATGCCCTACGGGATTTGGGGCTAAGACGGCGCATGGGAGCACAAAGACAAAGGCTGAGGCACCAAATGGCATTAAATTCAGTGCCAGCCCGGGCTCTGCTGCGGCCTCAAAGGGAATTGCTCAGAAAGACAGTGTCTGACACTGGACCAAAGTCCTAGGCCACGTGCTCAGAGGGACCCAGACCCAGACCCAGGCCAGGGGAAGAAAGCCACAGCCTTCTCAAATGCACTGAGGCACACGGTCCCTCAACCTTTAAGGGGTTTCACGCACAGAGGAGCCCAGTAACGTGAGACAGGCCAAACCAGCAGACCCTAGGGAAGGGGGCTGCAGAAAAGAAGAGCAGACCGAACCCAGACACCACAGAAAACATAAACCAAAAGTTTGTTCATTATAAAGAGCTACAAAATTGATCAATCTTTGTTACACTGATCAAGGATAAGACGCTGTAACATTACATGGATAGTAAGGGAACAATATGAGTAGCTTTATGCAAACAAATTTGACAATTTTTATAATTTAGACAAATTCCTTGAAAAATACTTGTCAAAACTGACAAAAGAATTTGAATAGTCCTGTATCTACTGAAGGAAACAAATTTTTATCCAAAAAAAGATAAAACTTTCCCACAGAGAAACTCCAGCTTATATGACGTCCCTGGTGAATTCTAGCCAAATTTAAGAAAGAAATGACTGTTACTTTCAGAAAATAACCCAACAGAGACATTACATAAGCTGTTAGGTGCCCTTGAGCGGGTACTGACTGACAGTGTCCATGTGGACAACATGAAGAAGCAGCACTGCCCGGTCCTACACCAAACACACAGCTCTCGCTACACTTGAGACCACTGCTGCCACTGTGTTAATCCATCTTATTGGGGGGTTTCCTTTTTTTCACTCACTTCCTGTCCTTCACTTTACCAAGCATGATGTTCTTCTCTAGGGACTGGTCACTTCTGAACTGATACTATGTCCAAAGTATGAGAGACAAAGTGTGGCCCTCCTGGCTTCTAAAGAGCACTCTGGCTGTACTTCCAACACAGATTGGTTTGTCCTTCTGACTGTCCATGGTACCTTTAATACTCCTTTCCAACACTGTAACTCAAAAGCATCAATTCTTCTACGGTCTTCCTTATTCACTGTCCAGCTTTCACATGTATGTGAGGTTATTAATAATACCATGGCTTGGGTCAGGCACACCTTAGTCTTCGTACTGACATCTTAGCTCTTCAACACTTTAAAGAGGTCTTGTGCAGATTTGTCTAATGCAGTACATCATTTGATTTCTTGACTGCTGCTTCCATAAGTGGTGATGGTTGGTCCGAGCAAAATGAAGCCTTTGACAACCTCAATCTTTTCTACATTTATCCTGATGTTATTTACTGTCCAGTAGTGAGGATTTGTGTTTTCTTTACACTGAATTGTAACCCATTCCAAAGGCTGTGGTCTTGGATCTTCATCAGTGAGTATTTTAAGTCCTCTTCACTTTCAGCAAGCAAGATTGTATCATCTGCATACCATAATAGGTTGTTAATGAGTCTTCCTCCAAGCCTAATGCCATATTCTTCTTCATATAGTCCAGTTTCTCGAATTATTTGCTCAGCATACAGACTGAATATGTATGGCAAAGAAGAATACAACCCAGGCGCACACCTTTCCTCATCTGAAACCATTCAGTGTTCCCTTGTTCTGTTTGAGCAGCTGCCTGCTGTTCTATGTACAGGTTCCTCACGAGCACAATGAAGTGTTCCAGAATACTCCGTCTCCACAATGCTGCCCACAGTCTATCATGAGTCACACAAACGAAAGCCTTTGCATACTCACTAAAGCACAGGTAAACATATTTCTGGTATTCTCTGCTTTCAGCCAAGATCCATCGGACATCAGCAATGATGTCCCTTGTTCCATGTCCTCCTGCATCCAGCCAAACCTCTGGCCATTCCCTGTTGATGTACTGTTGCAGCCATTTTTGAATTATCCTTAGCAAAACTTTATTGCATACGATATTAATGATATTATCTGATGATTTCCACATTCTGTTTGGAATGGACACAAATATGGATCTCTTCAAATCAGTTGACCAGGTAACTTGTCCAAATGTCTTGGCATAGATGAGTAAGTGTCTCCAGTGCTGCATCAGTTTTGTCGAAAGATTTCAATTTGTATTCCATCAATTCCCGGTGCCTTGTTCTTTGCCAACACCTTCAGTGCACCTTTGACTTCCTCCTTCAGTATCACTGGCTCTTGATCACATGCTACCTCTTGAAATGGTTGAACATTAACCATTTCTTTTTGGTACAGTGTGTCTGTATTCCTTCCATCTTCTTTTATTACATAAGAGAAAACATAAACACAGATGAAAAATCTGTTTAAAATACTAATAAGATTCAGCAATACAGAAAAAGAATCATAAGGAAGTATGGGTGATCCCAAGAGTACATACAGGTTATGAAAAATCAAACTACATAATTCACCACTGTGAATAGCATAAAGGGAAAAAAGTGATCGTTTCCATATCATGCACAAAAAGCATCTGACAAAAACCTAACCCCCACTTATGCAGGGGGGAACCCCAAAACACTCAACAAACTAGGAACAGACAGAAAAGTACTCAATCCCACTGCCATTAAGTTAACGCTGACTCGCAGAAGCCCTATATAGGGTTTCCAAACCTGCCAATCTTTATGGGAGAAGACAGCCTCATTGTCTTCCCTTAGGGTGGCTGGTGGATTTGAAGCACTAACCTTGTGGTGAGAGTCCCAAAGCCTAACACAGCATGAACAATACTCCTAAGCTGAGAAAGTCCACCTCCAACACACAGCTCACATCATACACAGTGGTGAAATGGTAAATCCTTCCCCCCAAGATTGGAGACAAGACAAGGATGCCCCAAATCTCACAAACTGTACTACACACCCTAACACATGCAGTAGGGCAAGAAAAAGAAATAGCATAAATATTGGGGAGTAAAAATTATAACTGCCTCTAGATAGTTTTCATAAGAGAATGCTACAGAGTTCTCAAAACAATTACTAGGAAGTGCATGTAGCAAGGTCACAAGACAAAGTTAACACACAAGGGGGGAGGGGGGAGTGTAGAGGGCGGGTTTCTAGGGTATGCCCTTTGATCAGAAGATGATGCATGGAGGGGATTGGAACCATGGCAATGAAATGATATATGATGGAATGAATGTAAAACTAAAGTTCTCTCATGTAAACTATCATATAATTCACAATAAAACATTAAAAAAAAAAAGTTAATACAAAAAAGTCAACTGTATTTTATATGTTTATATATAAGCAACATATGAAGTTGAACACAGTTCCATGTAGAATATCATCAGATAAGAAAACATAAAGACATTTATTTAACAAAACAGGTGCAATAGCCGTATATCAAAAGCCACAAACATTGCTGATAGAATTGTAAAAAGACCTGACTGAATGGCCATGAATTTCATGACCGGGAAGACTGGAGGCTGATTTTGCCCCAAATGGATCTACAGATTCAATGCAATTCCCAACCTAAACTTGGAAACTTACATGGTAATGGTGTGGTGATTATGTGTACAACATGAAGCACTGCCCGGTCCACATAGCAATGGTGTGGTGATTCCGTGCCATGGAGTCGATGCCAACTCAGTGCCACGAGAGAGGGCGTCCGAGGCTGTAATGCATCACGGGAGCAATTGGCCACCCAACTTGTACCAGAACTCCTTACATAGAAATGTAAAGGGCTTAATACCACAGCAATCTTGAAAACAGAGGCCCAGCTGGGGAAGTCATACAGCTGACTTCTAGACTCACTACCAAACTACAGTCTCAGCCATTGTGGTGCTGGCCTGGGGGGCGACAGGCAGAGGCAGAGGAGCCGAACTCGCGGCACACACTCATTTGTCATTTGGTTTAAACAAAGGTGCCAAACCACGCCAGCGTGGTCGGAAGTCTCTTCAATGATATGGAGCACCTGGAATTCATATGGGGGAATAATGAAGCCCAATCCCGACCTCACACCACACACCACGTTCATTTGAGCTGCATCACAGGTCCCAGTTGTGGTGAAGTGCCGTGCAGTCGGTGCCGACTCAGTGACCCTGTGTAGGGTTTCCAAGAACAACTGGTGGTGTGAGTTTGAACTGCCTGGCGTGTGCTTAACAGTCCAGTGGTCTTCCTCCAGCAACGCACCAGGGCTCCAGGACCCAAAGATAAAGACACGGAACTATAAAGCTCCCAGGGAAGCAGACTCAGGAGAGCATCTTGGACACTTTACTACACAGGACAGAAGAAACCAAGAACCCTCAAATAAAAGTTGATAAATTAGATACCAACAATATTCAATCTAAGACAATATTAATAATACAAGAAGGGGAGTGCATGGCTCTGTAGGATAAGCACTGGACTCCAAACTACAAGGTCAATAGTTCGAGCTCATCAGCACTGTGGGAGGAAGATGAGGCTGTCTACACCTGCAAAGACTTCCCGCTGCGGAAATCCTCTCCAGGTTGGCTCTGAGTGGAACCAACTGATGGCACTTAACACTGACACCAATGAGTAAACAATCCACAGACTAAGACATA